CCCTCCTCCTCCTCCGCCCTGCGCCTTCTCTCGCCTTAGCTGCCGCGTCGCCGCTTCGTTTTGCCTTCCCAGTCCCCCTCCCCTCCCCCTCCTCTCCCGTTCCCTGCCTCCGGCGGGTCCGTGCGCGCATCGCGGCGGGGATTCGGGTGGCTCAACCAGGCCCCCCTGGAGGCCGCGCACCCGTCTCATCTCCGTCCCGGCTCTTCCCCCGCCTCCATCCATACGCAGACAAACAAGTGCAACCCTTGACTCCACCGCCCCCCATTCTAGCAGATTTGGTCTTAAGCATTCGGCAGCGCATGCGTGAGATCACAAGGAGATAAGCATCCCCAGGGCCTCCGCGAGGTCACAGCCAACTTTCAGTCTGGTGGGCTGGGGGGGCGAAGACGGAGTCGAATACGAAGGGGTTCGACTATTGTGTCCCCCGACTGTCCCTCCCTCCCCTGGCTTGGTCTTCCCTGCAGTGGAGTGCGGGGCAATTCGAGCGGGCACCCTTCCGCGGAGGGCCCCAGTGGGACCAGAGGGCGCTGCGTAGTGCCACCCCGTTGCTGGGGGGGCCATCCCGCGCGGGGAGGAGCCGTCAGGCTGCGCCCAGGTCAAGGCGACGGGAGAGGGAGAGATGGAGGTTCGCGGGGCGAGGGTCGATGTGTTTGTACTCCTTTGGCTTTCTCGGGCCCACGGCGGCCTCCAGTGGTCTTCAGTATGCCCCTGGAGGCCTCTGGGGATTTCCAGAGACCTCTTGAGACTTACTTACGGGCGTGGGAGCAAGAGAGGGAGGGAGGGAGGGTGGGAGGAGGAGGATGAGGAGGAGGGGGAGGACCAGTGTAGACTCAAGACCTCAACAATGTTGGAACAAACCCTCCCTCCTTGGTCCCACTTCATAGGCCCCTACAAGGATTGATTTCCACCGAGGGGAGTGCACCACTAGGAGACAACCGTTTGAAGATCCTGAAGCATGCCAAAATACCATTCTCTGGACTTCACGACGCGAATCAACTTGACTGTTGCGTCTTGCCGATCTTGAATCTCGCCAGAACCCCATTCCGGGGACTTCAACACTGCGAGTGAACTTAACTGTTGCGCTCTTGCAAACCTCAGTCGTTCCAACGCATCAGCATAATTTCTGGTACGGTAGCCATGGGAATCAGGGAAGCTCTTGCAGATGTTGAAGACGAGTGTGCGCGGCGCTAGGGCGAGAGCCACATTTTGAAAAGGAGCCGCCCTCAATCCGACAAGCTTGTGCAGTTAAAAGAAAACGAATATGCGCGGCGCTAAGGCGAGAGCCACAGTTTGAAAGAAGCCGCCCTCGATTCGTGAAGCTCTGGCAATTTGTTAAGACGGGTTTGCGCGGCGCTAAGGCGAGAGCTACATTTTGAAAACGACCCGCCCCCAATCCGTGCAGCCCTGGTGAGTTTTCACAGCGGATGTGCGCGGCGCTAAGGCGAGAGCCACATTTTGAAAAGGAGCCGCCCTCAATCCGTGAAGCCCCGGGTAATTTGTTAAGACGGATGTGTGCGGCGCTGAGATGTTAGTCACATTTTGGAAGCGACCCGCCCTCCATCTGTGAGAGTGTTGCTATTGTTTAAGCGTCAAGATCAGACATTGGGAGGCAGTCTCAGGCGAAAGGCCCAGCCCGCCCTTCCGACTGGCCTCGGGTCGTGACAGGGAGGAGTTATCTACAAGGAAAATGGAAAGGAATAGGGGACAGTACGACCCTGTCGCCGCCAGTTCTCAGGAGCAGGGGGAGGAGGCGGAGGAGCCTTCGCCCAGGAGGCCCTTCACCTGGGACGCCGCGGGCCTGCGCCTAGTGGACGGTCGCGGGATGCCCTGATCGTTCGCGCTTGCAAAATGCAGCGCGCTGGTCCGCCACTCCCCCCAAGGGCTCCGCTCCGGAGGGCCGGGGCTGGGAGGCCATCCGATCGACTGCGCCAAGGAGTGACCCCGCTCGTCGAAGTGACCTTCTGTGCGGGCCCGGTGGCATCCCCCAATTGCGGAGTGCGTTGCGATAGCAGCGGCTTGAGCACTTAGGTTTGCCTGCCCCCCCCTAAGTCCACGCACCAAAGGGCACCCTTGCCTAGGGTCGCCGTTGAGTGTAGTCGGCTTGTGCCGTGTCAGTGCGGTGCGTACGTGGTCAGGCGGCCCCCCAGGGCCTGGCCGCGGGCTGGGCATTGGTACCCCCCACTCCGCTGCTCGCGGCTGGGTAGCTCCAGGTCGGGCCGCCCTGCGTTCCCTCCTCCATGCCTCCGCCTGCCCCTCGCCGTCTTGTCGCTCAGGAGCCACCCTGCCATCCCCTCCGAGAGGGTGGGTGCGTAAACGTAAGTGTATGTATGGGTGTATGTGCGTGCATGTGTGTATATACGGATGCATGTATGTACGTATATATGTCTGCCTGCCTGCCTGTCTGTCTGTCTGTATGTGTATGTGTGTGTATGTGTTTGTGTATGTGTATGTGTATGTGTATGTGTATTTATTTGCATGTGTGTATGTATATAGTAATGCTTTTATTATGCATTCATTTCGGTATATGTTCATTTACATACATATACATATATAGATATATACAAACGCATTTGTATTTGTATATGTACATGTATATGTAATTGTTTATTTAATCGCTTCGCTCATTCCGCCGGCCCATATTGTCGCACAGTTGTGGGCTAGCCGAGTTTTGGGGCCTCTTGGGGGCCGTTTTGGGGCCTCTTGGGGCCTCTTTTGGGCCTCTTGGGCGCCTCTTGGGGCGTCTTGGGGGCCTCTTGGGGGCCTCTTGGGGCCTTTTTGGGGCCTCCTGGGCGCCTTCTGGGGCGGAGGGCTCGATTTTTCAGTTCTCGGTTCCCCTCTTGAGCCCCTCTTGGGCCCGTCTTGGGGCCTCTTGGTCCGTCTTGGGCGGCACTTGGGCCGTCTTGGGGGCCCTCCTGGGCCGTTCCGGGGCCGTCTTGGGAGCCTCGTGGGCCGTCTTGGAGCGGTCTTGGGGGCCTCTTGGGCCGTCTTGGAGCGTCCGGAAGCCGAAAAAGCCAGAACGCAAAAAACAGCGAAAAAAACAATGAAAATCAACGATTTTGGCCTCTTGGGGCCCTCTTCGGAGGCCTCTTGGAAGGCCCTTGGGGCGTCTTGGAGGCCTCTTGGGCTGTCTTGGGGCCCTGTTGGGCGTCTTCGGGCGATCTTTGGCCGTCTCGGGGCCCTCTTGGACCGTCTTGGAGGCTTCTTGGGGGCCTCTTGGCCCGTCCTGGGGCCCTGTAACAGGGCTCCGGCATCTCTGGCCCGACCTTGCGGGGACCTTGCCGGGGACCTTGCCGGGGACCTTGCCGGGGACCTTGCCGGGGACCGGCCGGGACCTGGTCGGGGTACTTTTCGTCTGGGGACCCCCAGGGGCCGCCCCGCGCGCGCGAAGTAGAAACATTGTAGAGCAGTTACCGGAGATCTTAGCACGCCTCTGGCCCGTTGGGCCGGCGAATTTTTATGTGTATGCATATGTATATGCACTATGTATATGCACTGTGTACTTGTAACGGCCCAAAGCGGCCCAAGTGGACGCCCAAACTGCCCCAGAGGCCCTCCAGACGGCCCAAGAGGGCCCCAAGAGAACACCACGAGGGCCCCAAGAGGGAGCCAAGAGTGGTCTTGGGGAATGATGGTGGCGGGTACGGCTCCCAACATGTCCCAATGAGCCCCCCAAGATGCCCCCCCATGACCGAGGATCTTTCGCGTATCTTGGTTTCGGGCCTTGCTTTGGGCCTTCCAAGGGGCCCTCCTTGATCCGTCGGCCCGGGCTCCTTGCCCAGCGGCGTCACCGCTGTGACGGTTTCTGGTGCCAGCGGACGCGGGGGCGTCCGTTCCATTTCCTTTCTTCCATCCCTCTTCTCTCATCCCTCCGCTTACCCACCACTGCCCCGTTCTCATCCATCTGTGCTTGCGCGTGTAAGAAGTGTCAGAGAAGGGGAGGGGGATGAGGGAGGACGATGAGGAGGACACGTGCGAGAAAGGGTGGGGAGTGGAGAAGGATGATGAGGAGAGCGAAGAGGAATGAGACGAGTGGGAATACGAGATGGAGCGTTGGCGTAGGACGAGCATCAGGCAGTTGCCTCAGACCAGAACAGAAGCGCGCAGCGCGCGCGTGGCTCTAGTCCTATGTGTTTCCTCCTCCCCTGTCTATCTTCGTTCGTTGTCCCTGCCCATTCACGTACTTTTTCCTTTATCCATTCGTCCGCCTCTCCGTCCGTCTGTCGCTCCCTCCCTCCTCCCTCCCTCCCTTTCTTTCCGTCGCCTTCGTCCCCGCAGCCGTTGTCACCGTCGTCGCCGCCGCCATCGCCTCTGCTGCCGCCATCGCCGTCGCCATCGACGTCGTCCTCGTCACCGTCGACGCTGCTGTCGTTCGTCATCGTCGTCGTCGTCGACGTCGTTAGCGCTATCGCCATCGACGTCATCGTCGCGTATTCGTCGTTGCCCCTCTGCTCTTTCTCCTTCCCCTCCTGCTCTCCTCCTCCTCCTCCTCCTCCTCCCTCCCCCTCCCCCTCCCTCCTCGTCCGTGTCCTGCTCCCGCTGCCTCATTCCCCTGCTGCTGCTGCTGCTGCTGCTGCTGCTGCCGTTCCCGCTTCTGCTCTTCTCAGCGTATCCCCTCCCGAGGATGCCAGCGGCTGGATAGTGCAGCGCCAGCTCGGCAGAGGGCAGTATGGCGCCGATGGGGGGCAGCTTGCGTCAGGGAGGAGCGAGGGAGAGCGGCAGGGAGGGAGGGAGGGAGGGAGGGAGGGAGGGAGGGAGGGAGGGAGGGAGGGAGGGAGGGAGTCGAGGGATGCGGGGTCTCCTGGAGCATTTTGCCCGCCCGGCCGCCGCTGCGGGCTGCCAACGTGCATTGGGCGTTCGCCACGCGCGCCCGGCTGGGCCTCGCTGCCCCGCTCTAGCGTGGCCTCGCGTGCTCGATCGATGCTCGGGACAGGCGATGATGATTCTTGTGGCGTGCCACTCGACGAGCACCTACATCATTCCAGTCTCTGCACAAAAGGGCCGCGCCGAGCGCCTACTCTGCCATAATTCCGTGGTCGCCGTGCTGCGCCGCCACCTGAAACGGACAGGCGCTTTTGGCGACACGGAGCGGAGCATTCCTGAGCTCTATGTCGTGCCCGAAGAGCAGATTCACGAAAGGATCATGGACTTGGTCGTTCGTTGGCCTGCGTCTGGCATCGTGCTCCTCTTCGACGTCACGGTGCAGCCGCCTTTTGCAAGAGAGCTCACGCAGACGCACTTGCCCGGCGAGCGAGCGTGACAAGCTGACGCGCTATGGCCCAGACGTGGTGCCCTTCGCCATCGAGCCCTTCGGCCAGCTGGGCGGGCGCGCGAGGCAGGCGCTGGCTGCCCTTCACCGGGAGAGTGCGGAGTTAAGAAAACTGCGGCCGGGCGCAGACTGCCTGGTGGCCTTGAACCACTGGGCCGTGAGGGCGGATATCGAGGCGGCGGCAGTCCGCGCGGCGGCGCAGGCAGCCCTGCTTGCCCTGGGGGCGAGCTCTGTCGACGCGCTCGGCTGGACCGCTGGAAACACCGCTGCAGGGCGCCGCGGCCTGGCGAGGAGGGAGAGCGGCGGCGCGCCGCCGTGAGGGCGAGGGCGGCGGGTGAAGCCACCAACTGGCGTGCTTCAGTTCTGCTCGAGGGAGGGAGGGAGGGAGGAGGAGGGAGGGAGGGAGGGGGAGGAGGAGGGGGAGGGGGGGGAGGAGGAGGGAGGAGGAGGAGGAGGAAGGAGGAGGAGGAGGAGGAGGAGGAGGAGGAGGAGGAGGAGGGAGGGGGGGGGGAGGAGGAGGAGGAGGGAGGAGGAGGAGGAGGAGGAGGAGGAGGAGGGAGGAGGAGGAGGAGGGGAGGAAGGAGAGGAGGAGGAGGAGGAGGAGGAGGAGGAGGGGAAGGGAGAATGAGCGGGGCGGCAACGACCCAGGATCCAGATCGAGAAACGTGGTCCGCAGAGTGAACGGTGGTGCGCTGCCGTGGGAGACAAGAAAGCAGCACGTGATTCACGACGAGTACCTGTGCAGAGGAGCTGGCGAGGGACGGGGCGGGGGAGGTGAGACTGGGGGGGAGTAGAGGGGGGCCACGGGGGGGCAGAGCAGGGCAGGGTCGGGGAGTTGGGAAGGCGAGGGTGTGTACACCACACGCACCTGCGCCGCGCCGCCGCGCGCGTGGCCGCGACGCCAAAAACATGTGTATACGAACCGGAGGTGTCGGGGCAGCTCCGCTGCGTGTGGTGCCTCGATTCGGGCCCAAGCCCGAACCAAGATGCCGAAGACTGTCCCGCAGCAGGCCGTCTGTCTCGACGTCGCTGCAGTCGTCGGCCATGGACAGCCGCCGCGCGCCGAAGGCACTCCGCTTCCTGGCGCGGTGCGCCGACGAGGTGAGGTGGGTCCCCCGCTGGCGTGGGGGGAGGACACTTGTCCTAGTCCTGGTCCTCCTCCTCCTTCTCCTCCTCGGACATTTTCGTCGGCTCTCGTCGGTCCTCCAGCCATGGGATGCTCTCCAGCAGCTGCGCCTCGCCGAGAGCGTTCCAGGAGTGCCCGGATCGTCCCGAGCGGTCGCCGGAGAGCGGAGTTGTGACCCGAAAGCCAGGGCGCAACGGTAGGGGGAGAGATCGGCTCGGGGGTGGACTCCATCGACCCCCAATCGCCACTGATCGCCGATGGGGGGCCCGAGAGCCCACCCCGCCCAGCCTGCGGTTTCGCAATGGGGGTCCCATCGCCGAGCTATCGGTGATGTACCGCCGATTCCAGCACGATGTTTCCCCGCCCCCCCCCCTGGGACCGTCCCTCTGGTCTTCGGGCCACAACTTGGCCCCCCGGTGGCCTGACAGGACGACGCGGGCCCCCCAGAACGCTCGCGGCGAGGCGCACTTGCTGGACGGCAACCTGAGGCTGGAGAACCGCCGAGAAGCGGCGAGGATGTCCAAGATCTTCGGACCTTGAGTCCTAGAAAGTCGTCCCCCATTGGCAAGCCAGGACTTTATACACGTCAGCTGGAGGGAGCGAAGAATGGGGAAGTTTTCGACCCGCGGCTGCAGTCTTCTTGAGCGCGCCCGTGCTCTTGTTTGCCAAGGCCCCCGCTTACGGTCGGGAGCTGTGGCTTAGAGTGTCGCTCCGCCAGTTTCTGGCCCACCATGCTTCGGCGCGACACGCTATGTATTCGCTTTCCCGTTCCTAAGCGCCAGCGTCCCGAGTTTTTCCCATCCCCCTCCCCGCGGAGCGGAGCGACACGGTATCCGCTCGCAAGACACAGCGTGTTGCTGGGCCGCCGCGGCGACACGCTAAGCAAAAACTCCTTACCGTACGGGGCCCTGGTGCGCGGTGGCCGCAGCGAGCGCCGGCCGCTCCGCGCGCCGCCCGGGCTCGAGAGCGCGGGCGGGGGCCACCACCGCGCGCCGCCGCGGCCTACGCCGGCCGCGCCGCGCGTGGCCGCGGCCTGCGCCCTATGGCGCCGAAGGCGGCCGACAAGAAGAAGGGGCGCGGTTCCGAAGCGCCCCCCGTCGAGGATGAGGCCCTCCTCTTCCTTCTCCTCCTCCCCCTCCTCCTCCTCCTCTCCCCCTCCTCCTCCTCCTCCTCCTCCTCCTCCTCTTCCATTCCCTTTCCTTGTAAGCAGTTCTGCCCTGTCGCACCCCGAGGCGGGTCGAAAGGGTCGGCCGGGCGTTTCGCCTGAGACTTCCGCATTGTTTATGACCCTGAAGCTTAGAAGGTGGCAGCAGTTTCATAGACGAAGGGCGGGTGGTTCTCAAAACGTGGCTCTCGCCTTAGCGCCGCGCGCATCCGTTTTGAGCATGTGCAAGAGTTTCACGGATTGAGGGCGGGTCGTTTTCAACATGTAGCTCTCGCCTCAGCGCCGCGCACATTCGTTTTAAACACGTGCAAGAGTTTCACGGATTGAGGGCGGGTAGTTCTCAAAATGTAGCTCTCGCCTGAGCGCCGCGCACATTCGCTTTAAACACGTGCAAGAGTTTAGCGGATTTTGGGCGGGTCGTTTTCAAAATGTGGCTCTCGCTTTAGCGTGCAAGAGTTTCACGGATTTCATGGTCAACGTAACAGACATGGTGTTTTGGAAGGACTCAGGATAGCGAGGGCGCAACAGTTGCGTTAATTCGCGGTGTTGAAGTCCCAGGAATTGTGTTTCGGCAAGACTCGGGATCGTCAAAACGCAATAGTCATGTGTCCCGAGAATGGTCTTTGGCACGCATCAGGGTCTTCCAACAGTGCTCTCCCAACGAGGCAGTTCCTTCAGTGGAAATGAACCCTTGTAGGGGCCTGTTAAGAGGGAGCATGGAAGGAGTTCTACTTGAACGTCGTTGATGAGTCTTGGGTTTCCACTGGTCCTCCTCTTCCTCTTCGTCCTTGTTCAGTTCTAACAATACGAATACTGTTCTCCCTCCTTCCCTCTGAAGTTTTCCGGAAGATCTCCCGCACCCTCCGTGTGTTGTTTTTGCACGCAGGATTTCAAGCATTGGTTTTGTTCTTCACATGTTTCGTGGGTTTTTGGTTTTCTTTTCAGCCGCGTCCCACCCGCGAGGAGCACACCTCACCTACTTGGTGAACTTTCCCACCCAAATCGGATGTGCGCTCCCAACACATATATATATATATAAACACCTTCACTCGCGCGCGCACTATACACAAACGAACATGCTGTCTGACGCAGCACTGACACACACACACACTTTTTACGTCGGCGGCTAGGCAGAATGACTGCGCTGGTGGATGGGGCAAATGTAGGGCATACAAACGCGAAGGAAGCCGCAATGCACGTGAGGAGGAGGGGGTAGGCCCGGCGCGGGCGGGAGGGAGACGGAAACGGGGCCTGCTCAGAGCGGGGCCAGGCCGCGGCAGTGGGGCACCGTGGCGGTGGGGCGGCAGCCGCGGGGCAGCCGGGGGCGGGTAGCAGCCAGGTCGGCCGCGAGGAACAGTTGAGCAACCTGAAGGAACACGTTCGGATGGCATTCCAACGTCAACAGAGAACATCAGAGCACGTTGCCAAGATGGCGGAGGCCATGCAGCTTGCTGGAAACGTCAGGACCGGAGGAGGTGGAAGCAATCCCGTGAGCGAGTCCAGGGCCGTTCGCCAGGTAAAAGCGTTCTTGGGTGACCAGACCAAATCCAGGGAATGGATTGAATGCGCTTGCCCAAGTGCAGCAATGTTATCGGCGGGCCCTGTAATTTTTGAACAACGAGCTTGATCTGAAAAGCATTGAACGGGAGGTTAACATTCAGCGACTGAACTAATGCGTCACGTACCAAAAAACAAGGACAATACGTGAAAAGGGAATATGAGTTAGACGGGGGCGACTACGCCGAGTTGGACGAGGACTACCCCGCAGAAAGTACGAAGGTCTTCGCGAAGGTGACGGCTTAATGGCTGACCAGTAGATACACGCACTGTGTTCTGCCGTTGCTGGAGCCGCGCCTTCCCGCAAGATGAACCTGGCAACGGGCCCTGCAAAGGCCAGGAAGGCGGGCGATGTTGCGACCCAGCTCGAACAATGGCGCGCGTTGGTAGAGTCTCTGGATAAGCGCGGGCCTGTTTATTCGTACCGATGCCATTCAGGGTTGCTGCTCCGCTGATCATCATGATTCATGCGGGTGGTTGGTTCGACGACCGGCAGCGCTATCTCTTCAGTGCGCCGGAGTCGTTGTTGACACCTGCCAGAAATCTTTCAAGATTGAGCCGGGGAGACGATATTGGATGCTGACGCGAAGCTCGACGATTCCATGGGGTTTGGCCTCGTCGATGAGGAAGATGTTGATACTGGGGCTCGGGTATGAATAGTTTTTGGTTATTTCGATGAGAATGGGAACTGGTGGACTTGGAGCGTTGAGGACATGGGTGGGAACTGCGACGCCAATGAAGTAGGCGAAGGAAAAGAGCAAAGGCAAATGTCCCATGTGTTACAAGTGTGGAGGAGATGGGCGCGTTGCCAAAGATTGCGCCACAAGAGGTGCCGCGAAAGGAAGAGGAGGTATAACGTGGGAGTGCGCGGGGGCGAAGGTTCATCAGGGCGCGCCAGCAGGGGGCCCGAGAGAGGGTGCCAGTCACCAAGGGTTACCCCGGGAGTCTACGACAGAGGAGTGGCAGCGGGAACGCTCTAGGTGGTTGCCGAGGGAACCGAGCCCCAGGGTCGAAAGGAGGAGGTAAGGGAGGATCTGCGCCTATCAGGCAGAGGGGGCGCTGCGTGTGCGGCGACAAAGGCCGCGTCGCAGCCCGCTGCCCCAATGGCGCCGGCGAGGTTGGCCTGGGTCGAGGGCGGGCAGGGGGCCCAGCCGAGCCCGCGCAGATGTTGGGGCAAGCCCTCGTCGTCAAGGTGTGCGACGGGAGCGGCCGATTGTTGGTTGGAACCTGGTCGAGGATAAGGGGGGCAGCGAGTTCCACCTGGAGTGCCTGATGCGGTGGGGGGCGTTGAGTTGCTTCTGGAAGTCGCCGAGAGACTCGCTCTTGCGCTCGGGGGCGAGGTGGCGCGAGCTGGGCCGCGCTTCCCCGCCGCGCCAGGGGCGTCGTTGTCCCGTGCGCCTTCGCCCCCGGGAAGGCGGGGAGGTCGTTCCGAACGTGGGGGTATGACTCTCGAATGGCGGCTTCACAGCAGAGCGCCTTTCCGGGGCAGCCCTTGCCCCGGCCAGGATGCCGCGGCGTTGAAAATGGCGAGGCCGCCGGCAACTGGGGCGTCGATGGCGGCGTCGAAGTGCCGGGCCAGTTGCGGGGGCGCGGGGGTGGCGGGCCCGGTGCCGGGGGTCAAAGTGGAGGGCAGGAAACCAAGGTTAGGTCTCAAGAGAAAGTGCGCGCTCCGTGCGCGCCGCGTGGGTTGCGACCGCGGTGCCAACTGGGATGGCCGAGTCGCGGGGTGCATCGAGCAGGCGAAGGGTGTGTGCGACATTGCGCTGAATCTGAGTTAGTAGAAATGGAGGGGCTTAATGATGATGTCAACGAAGTATCGCTGCGAGAAGTAGATAGTGGCATGGGGGCGATTGTCGTCGCGGAGGACACGGGGACTCATGGAAGTGCGGGGCCGCCGTGCGTGGGGGCCCGCTTCCCAGTTAAACCCGCGGAGGCATCCGGGGGCGGCGAGCGCCGCAGTGCAGCCAGCGGGTCAGTCGCCAAGAGCAACGGGCAGCGAGTTTTTGTAAGTAAGAACGACGATGGGGTCCGCGGTGAGCGTGCCCGTGCAAGTGGCCAGCGTGGAAAATATTCGTGCTTGCGCGCGAAGTGGTGAAGGCATGGGGTCGCATGGCGTTTGATCGGGGCAGCGTTGTTTTCCTGCGCTTGCGTCGAGCGCGGAGTATGGGGGCAGATGGCGGCGACTCGCGCGAACAACGTAGCTTCCTGTTTGCCGTGCGGGCCCCAACGGGGGGTTGAGAGTTAGGGGGGGGGCGGGGTGTCGGAGGCGTTAGCGGCGGTGGCGAAAACTTGTTCTACTGAGTTCGGGGGGGCCAGTGAGCCCCATTCGAAACCCAGTCATCATGAACCTGGAGGAGGGCAAAGGGGGCGAGAGCGCGGGCAGTGAGTTCAGTGACGTGGAGGATGTGTCTGTTGGTGAGGAGGCTGCAGTGCCTAGAGGGGTGGCGTATGACCTGGGGCCGGGCGACGTAGATGTTGACTTGCGCGACAGAGCTCTTCTGCCCCGCCGAAGCTGGCGCCCCCGCTGCGTCCGAGAGCCGGCGGGGGGTCCTGCGGAGCAGAGTTCGGGGCGCCGGGGCAAGGGGCGCCGGCGACCTCGGTCGACTGTGCGTGGTTAAGCGGGAAGGAAGGAGACAGCGAGCAAGAAAGCGGGGCGAAACCGATCATTTTCATGCACTCCCGGGGCGCGAAATTAAATTGGAGTCGAGCTATGCTGAAAAAGGTCGTGGATTCGTACTTGGTCAACGTGTTCTCTGATATGATTCTGTTCGCTGGCCGCGAAGGGGGATCCTTGAGCGATGGGGGGTCGCCCGTCGCGGCGCTCCAGGATGCCTTTGGTGCTTCGTGCGGCATCGACCCAGCAGTGGGAGTTGGCTCTGTCGCGGGCTCCCATGCGGACGGCGAAGGCGAATGAACAGCCAGAACAGCGATTTGCAGAGTTAGGACGTTCAAGAATGCGTTGGGTCACAACTTCAAAATAGAGCTTGGGGCAAGGCACGCCCTTGCACCTTGGTTAGCGGCCCATGCGTCTTTCCCCGTCGACGAGTTTACGATGGGCACTGATGGCGAGACGGCCAACGAGACGTGCCCAGGGCGGAACGCCAACGAACCGTTGCCCGAGCTTGCATGATACATCGTGTGCTTGAAGACTCCGCCGTAGAAAGGAGGCAGCGACCTCGAAGCCAGATGGGGGGTGGTGCGTTACTGGGGGCCCATGAGACAGTCAAGAGCCGACCGTGGGCGCCCCGCAGGGCGTCGCCCAGCCTCGCGAGTTCAGGCGCAGAGGAAGTGGAGGTCAGGTGAAGTCAAGACCCCCTCCCCGCCCGCAAGCCGTCTCGCTCGCCCCCACCCGCCCTCCCAACACATACGTAGCACCCGAGTCTGGC